CAAACCACAGCGGAGCGGGGAGGCTTGCCGACTCCATCCCTACCTTCAGGTCTCCAGCTGTCATTTTGTGATAGATGACTTCCTCATCCCGGTGCTTCTCTTGCGGGATGGTGATGTTGGCCAACGCTGTCTCGAAGTCCAAGATCTGCTGCATCTGCTGGCGCGTCGACTCCTCGTTGGTGCCGCCCAGGAACATCCCCAGCTGCACCATGTAGTTCAGGTACCCGGTGAGCACCTACATGGTGGGACAGGGAGGAGATCAGCACGGTGGGTGCCACCCGCCCGTGGCACCTCCCTGGCAAAGCCACATTTCCCCCCAACATCTTTACCTTCTCATTCTCCGTCTTGTTCAGGTAGTAATCCCGTGACGGCAGGCCTAACCCCGACTGATCCACCTGGATGACGTTGCTGTTGGAGTTTTTGGAGTCGGCGCTGACGTAGACTGAGAAGAAGGGTGAGGTACGGTAATGTGCCGTCACCTCCCGCAGCGTCACGTTGAAGTTGTCACTGGCCCAGGGACCTGTGATGCTCCAGCCACCCAGCTGGGGAGAGACAGCAGCCAGCTTTTGGGTAAGGAACCATCACCTGGAGTTGCTTAAATATCCCCCCGATACCCATCCTGGGGGAAAACATCTTGCAATGGGGCTAAAAAGCCCAGGAGAGGCAAGACCCGCCTATAAATCCTATGAATCCCTGCCTCTCACCTGCCCTGGGGGATGCTCCGCCCCGGGAAACACTGGGAATGGGGTCTGGAGGGTGCCGGCACTGCCCATAAATAGGTTTTTTCCCCCCCCGTTTTGCAGAGGGAAGACGGCTTTGTCGCAAGGAAGGGGACAAACCTTTTGGATGAGCTCCATGAGCGGCGTGGCACGCAGCTCCTCGATCTTGCTCTCGTTCATGCAGGCTTGGTAATAACGCTGGGCCTTGCGCTCTGCCTCGCTCGACACGTTGGCCGTGGTGTTTTCTGCGGAAGGTAGCCAGGGGAGCTCGCAGGGGGTCCCCGTGCCCCGCGGGGGCAGCTGCCGACACACGCCAGAGCCCCCACCCTCCACTGGAGAAATATTCAGCCCCATTTTGGGCAAAGCCAGGTTCCAAAAAGCCACCAAGGATTGCCCCACTGGTCCCCTCCATGCCCCCGAGAGCATCCCCCAGCTCTTCCTGGCCTCCTGCCCCCATCTCCTGTCCCACCCGCAGTGACTGCTCTAGCTCTTTGGAACAGAAAGATAAAGAAATCAAAAACAAAAAGCGTTTTTCCAGCAGCTCTGATGTTCCCAGCATCATCCAGCCCCCTGCGCTGCCCTTGTGCCTGTGCTGGCGCTCCCCACCCCTATATTATTTATTCCTGCAAGAGGGAACAATAAACCCATTTTTCTCCTCTGCCTCCAAAACCATCCTTTCGCCCCCCCCAAAATTCTGCTTCCCCAGAGGTTTGGGGTTGGGTTTTTTTTTTTTTTTATTATTATTTTCCTCATGACACAGCTTGCACCTTTGGCTTCCCAGCTGTGTGGTTTTATTAACTAAAGGTCCCTCAGCTCCAAGGAATTCAAGGAAATGCCGAGCGCGACCGCTTGGCCGGAGGCCCAGTCCCTTCTCCCGGTAAAACCAGCGCCAGATTTCTGCGGGAAGAGACAGGGACGAAAGCCGTTCCCGCACCCCCCCCCCTTCTCCCGACAGACAACACTCTTCCCAAACCTTCTCTTTTCAGATAATCAGCCCCAGCGCAGTGGAAAGTGCTGATAAGGAGCCAGTTGTTTGCTCAAAGCTTGAACAAACCGTCCCCGCCGGTTGCTCGGATAAGCTGCCCCGCTTTGGTGTTTGCACGCAGAGGCTGAGCCTGGGGATCCTCCCTCCGCTGGGGGAGTTTTGGCCCCAAAAACTGGCCAGATTGGCAGTCAGCTCCCCAAAAAGGCTGCTCACACAGGCTGGAAGCTGTAGCAGGAGGAAAAACTCGTATCTTTAGGGTGATTTTGGGCTGCTGCGGCCTCTGGATGCTGTCTGGGGTACAAATCCTGAATTTCAGAGCTCTGGGAACACCACCATGCAGTTTGCAGAGCCAAGGCTGGGACCCTTCCCCTACTCGGCACCGAAGCGCTGCAAAACCGCAATCAAAAATCCCAGGGACATCCAGGAGAGCAAATGCTGCCGGGATCCGCTTCCGAATGTCCTCACAGCACATGTGTCATGGATTGTTTTGATGCTGGGGTTTAAGTCTGACCTTACATCCCTACGGACTGTTCTTGGTTTTCCCTGGACCTAAGGGGGGGATCTTCTGCACCGCAGGTCCCACCGCTCCCGCGTACTCACCCAGCAGATGCTTCATGATGGCCTGGTTGTGCTCCCAGAGGTTGTTGAAGGTGCCCCAGCGTGAGTGGCCATCAGGAAGGGGGTTGGCCTTGATCCAGCCCCCGCAAGCGTAGCTAAAAAAATCCTCGCAGGGATTCACTGCCCGATCCAGCGAGCTGAGGATGGAGCTGGTGACGGAGATGCAGGCTTCCGACAGGCACACGGCGGGTGGCCCTGGGTGTGGGAACGATACGTTCGGCTCTTCCACCACGACACGAATGAGCCGCATCAGGGAGCGTCCTGCCCCGTGATGAAGGATATGGGCAAATATCCCACCCAGTGCCTGAGCGTCCCGCTCTATACCTTAACGTCCCACTCCAGGGCAAGCAATATGCACCAGCATCCCGTCCCATGCCCGATTATCCCGTCCTGCCCCAGGGCGAGGGATGGAGGCAAACATCTCATCCTTACGCCCAAGCATCCCACCCTGGGGTGAAGGATGTGGGCAAGCATCCCATCCTGTACCCGAGCGTCGAGCTCCGGGATAGAGGATGCAGATGAGCATCCCATCCTGCACCCGAGCATCCCATCCCAGGAACCCCTCAGCAACATACCCTGGTCAAGGGGGTCAATCCCCACGCGGCGCAAGGACTTACGGGCTCTGTACTGGAAGATGAGACCCAGCAGACATGCCACCAGCACGGCTGCCAGCACCCCCACCAGCACCACGAGCTGCTTCTCGATGCGCGTCCGCTCAGCCCAGCACCCCAGGCTGCTCCTGGAGCCACGGAAGTTCACCTGTGGGAAAAGCAACGCCGTTTCCCCACCAGCGGAAAAACCCACCGGCGCATCCCCCATTTTGCTTCCTACCAACCGCGGCATGAATTCGGTCCCCGGTGAGGGATCCGGCACTGTTCGGGCTGGAAAAGGCGGCAGCTGCCTTCCAGAAACTGGCCAGGAAGGGCAGCACAATGGCAGGAAAAGGAGTGGGGTGAGTGTTTCGGCAGGCTCACCTGCTACCCCGTGCCACCCCGAACCCCTCCTTGAGCATGGCTGTAACCCCCCGGGTGTCCCTGTCCCCACTGCCGGCACTGGGACAGGGTGGGGACCGCGGCGGCAGCGGCGGGAAGTGCCTTAACAGGATACTCCCGCTCAGCCGAAAAACATCCCCAGGAAACATCCCGATGCGATGGCGAGCGGAGATGGCCCCACCAGGGAAAGCAAAATCACAGCGGAGCCCTGATTTTTGGGGCTGAAAACACCATTCTGGGCAGGAACTCATGGGGCTGGGAGCAGAACCAGCACCAAGACCATCGCTCCGATCCCAAATCTTTCCCGGCAAGGCCGGACGCTGGCAGCCGTGGGGTTTTTTGCTCGCCACCCTTGGCCTTTTTTAAGCTGCTTTCCCACTGCTCGGGGAGGAATTAACTTAATCCCTTTTTGTACGGGGACAAAGCTCCCACCGCCACGCTAATTGCTTGTCCCGGCCACGCCGGGAAGGGGTTCAGCCGGCAGAAAAAGCGGGTGCTGGGGCGTTGCAAACAGCTGAGCCAGGATCCGGCCCTGCAGGCTCCGCTGTCGCTGGCTCTGGGTGCCGGGAGGGGAGCAAAGGGCAGCGGGAGCCAACATGGCTCTGCCCACGCCGGACTTTGCCCCACGGAAAGGCTGGTCCCGAGCGGAAAACCCTCCTACAACCCCCCCCCCGCTGGTTCGCAGGACCTAAAAATCTCATTTTTTACCCCCCAACACACACCCAGGACCTAAAAATCTCCTTTTTTCCCCCCCAAAACACACATGAAGCCCTACCTGGAAGCCGTTGGGGTACCCATCGCCTTCACTGATGGAGTCCAGGGGGTCTTCGTCGTCCAGCGTAGCCCGCTTGTAGGTCGACATCTGAACGGGGAGATCGGCAGACGGAGGTGCTCAATGGCTGGAGGTCGAGGAGGAGGAGGAGGAAAGAGGGCAAGGAAGGAATACGCACCCTCTAAAGCCGCCTCCTCCTCCGGGGAGCTAAATCCCGAATGGCTCCGGGGTAGTAAAGCGCTAAACAAACGCCGGAGGAAGGTTATGGAAAGCAACGCGGCCAGAGCCAAAAGCTGAGCAAAGCCCGAACCCGCCTTGCTTTCCCCCGGGGCCGGGTTGTGCAACCTCCCCTTCAGCCTGGAATAAAGCCGGTTCCTCCTCCGCCAGCTCCCGGCCCCGAAACGGGGTGAGGGACCCCCCCGTGCTAGGGATCCCCAGTGTGCTGGGGACCTGAGAAAGGCTGGTAGCGGAGAAAATGGCTTTTCACCCTGAAACTACTGGCTCGCTCGCGTTCCACGCCCCATCTGTGAACCGTGCACACCCCAAAACACCCCGTGGGGTCCCTCTGAGCACCCAAAGGCGATGGCACCTTGAATTTAGGCTCCCTCCCAGCACCTCTTCCCCCGGGTGTTATCGCATGTGCCGGTGGCCGGCTCTTATCTCACACGCTGCACACCCCCCCCCCACACCAAAACAAACGAG